GTCCCCAGGCTGACTACTTGGGAGGCTGAGGCAGGAGGATCGCTTGAGCCCAGGAGTTGGAGGTTGCTGTGAGCTAGGCTGACGCCACGGCACTCACTCTAGCCTGGGCAACAGAGTGACACTCTGTCTCAAAAAAAAAAAAAAAAAAAGTAAAAAAAAGTGAGGCTCAAGTTTCCATTGCTGTTACCGTTTCCTATTTTTTCAGGCTCTTAAAGTTTGATATTAGTGAATGCATGGTCTAACCTGCAGCAAAGAGAGTCCCCAATGTTATGGTGACTTAAACTAGAGAGAAATTTGTTTTAGTTGCATGTAGTAATCCACAGGTGGTGGCGAGGTGGTCCGGGCTTGGTAGGGTAGCTCTGCAGTGGTTCCGGGTTTGTTCTGGTTCTAGTAGCTTCTCTCTTCCTGGCAGCGGAAAGGGCAAAGGGGATGAAGGTTTTTTCTATATACTTTTAGTTGGCCAATTAATTTCTTTTCTATTTTTAGTAGAGACAGGGGTCTCGCTGTTGCTCAGGCTGGTTTCGAACTCCTAACCTCGAGCAATCCGCCCGCCTCGGCCTCCCAGAGTGCTGGGATTACAGGCATGAGCCACCGCGCCCGGCCATCAGAGTGGGCTTCTTACCTATGTGTTGATTCTCAGTTTTCCTTAAAACTACCGATGTCTTATCTTGACTAATCATTGGAAGATGATTAATATTTTGACCTGTCTTTGTTGCTGGCGTTTTTAGGCATAAGAAAAGCACTACCTCCAGCTCCAGAAATGAAGAAGGTAGGTGCTCTTTAACTTTGGATGGTTAAATCTTTGCATTTTAGGCATTTAGGTCTGAAGTTTGGTAGTGTTTGAGGTTTAGTAAATGTGTTTATATTTAGTCACGTGATGCAGCTGATTTTGGGTGGGTTTCTTAAGCCATTGTTACGTCAGTTATAAAATAGAGATTCTAAAGGTCTACTTCATGGGAGCAGTATTTTTCTTTCTTTCTTTCTTTTTTTTTTTTTTTGAGACAGAGTCTCACTCTGTTGCCCAGGCTAGAGTGAGTGCCGTGGCGTTAGCCTCGCTCACAGCAACCTCAATCTCAACCTCCTGGGCTCAAGCGATCCTCCTGCCTCAGCCTCCCGAGTAGCTGGGACTACAGGCATGCGCCACCACGCCCGGCTAATCTTTTCTGTATATTTTTTAGTTGGCCAATGAATTTCTTTCTATTTTTTAGTAGAGACGGGGTCTCGCTCTTGCTCAGGCTGGTTTCGAACTCCTGACGTCGAGCAATCCTCCCGCCCCGGCCTTCTAAAGTGCTAGGATTACAGATGTGAGCCACTGTGCTCTGCCTATCATAATTTTCTTCTTAGAATCTCTCTCTCTCTCTATGTACATACATATATAAAAAAGAGTATATAAGTACACACACACACACAGTAGACTTCACTATACTGTGTGTGTGTATACTTATATACTCTTTTTTATATATGTATGTACATAGAGAGAGAGAGATTCTAAGAAGAAAATCTTGAATTCTGTCTTTTTTTTCTTCCCTCTCACCATGTATCTATGCGGAGGAGAGAGTATAAATATGTGTGTGTATGTGTATGTATAAAATACATATATGTGTGTGTATGTGTGTATATGTATGTATAAAATGCATACATATGTACCTGCAGGATATTAAACCGCAAGCATTATTATTTTTTTTTTTTTTTGAGACAGAGTCTCACTTTGTTGTGCCGGGCTAGAGGAGTGCCGTGGCATCAGCCTAGCTCACAGCAACCTCAATCTCCTGGCTCAGCGATCGCTCCTGCCTCAGACTCGCCGAGTAGCTTTGGGACTACAGGCATGCACCACATGCCCGGATAATTTTTTGTATATAGTATTTTTAGTTGGTCAATTAATTTATTTCTATTTTGGTAGAGACAGGGTTCGCTCCAGGCTTGGTTTCGAACTCCTGAACCTGAGCAATCCGCTCGCCTCAGCCTCCCAAAGGCTAGGATACAGGCGTGAGCCCGCGCCCGGCCTTAGCCAAGCATTTTTGCACCAGATCAATTTAGGATTTGAAGGACAGTCCTTTCACCCTATTATCGGTAAACGTGTGGGTAGATATGGATAAACACAGGAGATGAGTATCTTGAGGTTCATTAAGAAAACTCTATGCGCTGTGCTTACGCTCTGACATGCAACCTGGCCTAATTTTTTTCTATATATATAGTATAGTTGGCCAATTAATGTCTTTCTATTTATAGTAGGGACGGGGGTCTTGCTGTTGCTCAGGCTGGTCTCGATCGGCTGACCCTTTGTGTGATCTCCGCCTGCGGCTCCAGATGCTAGGATCACAGGCGTGAGCCACCTTGCCTGGCTGGGTTTTATTTTTAATTTTTCATTATGAGAATTTTAAACATCAAAAAGGACAATATCTGCGCGCGTG